GACAAAGACGAATATTGTTCGAGATTTTAATTATCTAAAAGTAATGCATAAATATTGAATAAAATTTATGAAAAAAAAAAAATTAATCTTACTCGATTATCATTAAGATTTAATTCATCAACTTGCAGTGTTTGAATTTGATCTGGTATTTGTGTTATTTGATTTGACGATAGATCAAGTAATTGTAAATTAGGTAATTTAAGTATTGATTCAGGAATAGTTGTAAAACGATTATTTGATATGATTAATTGTCTTAAACTACTTAAGTTAGCAAATGATGATGGTAATGAACGAAGTTGATTTTGACCTAATTGAATATTTTCAAGTTTTTTCAATTGGCCAAAACAATCAGGTAATTGAGCTAATACGAGAAAAAAAAAAGACAACTCCAATATAAGTAAACCGAAATTGACGAAAAAAGTAATGAAAATTTTCAAATAATAAACTCGTTGTTACTTAAGTCAAAGTTTGAATATCGAAAATTAAATCTAGTTTACGAATATTAATTGAACTTGTATATAAAGAATAAGTTTGAACTGATTATATAAATTGTAACATAATCGATATCAGATTATAAGAGGAATATGAACTTTTCAATCTTGAAAAACTACTGTCTTCTTTTACTTTAGGATCATGTTTAGCCTTCTGTATGAAGGATTACTGTTATGTAGGTTCTGGTCGAATAAAAACAGATTGATGAACAATTCATTAGTGATCAATCTAATCGATAATATATTAGAAGAATCCATGAAAATATGAATAAATTAACAAAAGTTCATATCAATAAATTTTTGTTAATATAAATTAGAAGAGCATCAAGATTCAATTGATGATTTTAAAAAGTCCCTAGCGTATTGCTTGAATATTCTAATGGAAATATGGTAGATATTACAGTTCTTGTGTTTTTCAAAATTTTTAAAATATCTGTTTGTTGATAACATGCATAAGAATTTATCCAAGAATCTTAATATGTTTGATTTAGTATAAGAAATTCAATATTACATATAACTAATCCATTTTGAAACTATTTTATATGAATGACATTTGTATTCGGATGATGAGTAGAGCCGTAACTAGACGAGGATTAGAGACGACTCAGTTCCCTTTGAAATCGTTACTGAAGGCTTCTACATACATGATCACGTATCTAAACTTCCTTCTACAAGATTTTTCTGGTTACTTTACTGTTGATAAAAATAAAGTTTCGAAAGAAAAGTCCTACTGATTTGATTATTTCGAAGACTTAAATTTTTTAAATTAACCATTAAACTAATTTCCATAGGAATTGTTTGAAGTTCATTATCATTGACTGATAATGTACGTAAATTAGGAAGACAAAGACCAGGATTTATCTAATAAATAAATAATCATATAAAAAATTATTTACGATTTGATATTTTCCTACTTCTTTAAGTTTTTTATTATCATATTGAAGTACACCAGTTTTTGTTGCTGTTTCAATATGTTTTTTCAGTGTACTACCACCACTAGCACTATGAGTATTTCCCATTGTAAATGTAATCGAAAAATGTAAATGAATTCACAAATTAATGTCGAATTAGCATGTCACGTCATACAGTGCACATATTAAACGTTAAAAAAAGAACAATCTGATTGATCAATCATAAGGTTTAAAGACAAAGAGTAACAATAGATGTCTGCAGATACAAGCAATTATTCTTAAGGTATGCAATGTATGATTAAATGCGTTTATCAGATATTGAGCTAGAGTGATTGTGATATTTATCATTATTTGAATTAATTTCAAAGGAAACACTCAGATACTAAGTTCATGCAAGATTTTAAGTCAAAAGTTCGAATAAAAAATCTAACCATGTTTGACAATAAACCGTCTGATTTTAAAACTAACAAAAGACTGTTAATAGTCAGTCGAAGTAATATTTTTCTCATTAGTAGTGTATATCCCGCAATTTTCAATCAAACGAAGCATGCCTCTTCGAAATATTCAATATATAAAAAATGTCATACAGCAAACTTTTCTTCAATATTCAACATCTTGAGAATAGTGTCCATCAGGTCACTCCCGAACCCAATTGGTTATGGATTCGAAAATTTTGAATCGGAGGGGCTCTAGTTGAGAAGAAACTATTTGATTACGCTGGAACTTTAAGATTATTCTAAGAACTAAGAGATCTATTTATGAACAAAAACTCAAATGAAAAACTCTTCTGTCCGATTTTTTTATGAATATTTTGTCATAGAGTGAGAATCCAATACAACAGTCATAATTTCATAAGAAACGTCTCTAGAAAGAAATTTTTTCAAGTTTTTTCTAGTCTCATTGTGTTCTATTTGTCAGTAAAATATCACTACGATCGCTGATTAACACTTGGATAGATTCTCTCATGAGTAGAATGATAGTCAAAAAAAAACAAGTTCGTTTGTTTCTCTTGAAATTCAATTGGATTTTAAAATTTATATTATCTTATTCAAAGGCACGATATAATACAAATTTGAAAATAGTTTTCGTTTAAATTAAGAATAAATCTTATGTAAAGATAAGTTACGTTAATAGAATTTATTGTTCGTGTTTATCATGAAATTCAAATGATTTTATTTTCTAAATTTTTTTCTATTCGATTTTTCTATGCAAATAAATAATTAAATTTTTCCACGACATTGTAGAACAGGTACACGACTTCTTGTTTGATCACTTTGTGGATTTGTTGGTAATGTCATAAGAGTATATTGTGAACCAGTCATTAATGGATGACCATCTATAAAAGAAATGAAACATTATGAAGTTAATTTCACAGCTCAACAAGAAATTTTAATAAGTGTGTCAAAGTCATTTACGACGTCGTTTTATCATATGTCACGTACATCATTAAGTACGTGTTTGATGAAAAAAATTTACTTGTTTAACTTGAGAACACAAGAAAAGACATTATCTTAAGAATTTGTGAAACGCGAGTATTAATAAACATTCAATACAATGGAAGAAAAATTAGGTCCTGTAATTTACGTAGAATTTGACCGATATTCTAGCCTATCATATCCTACTTTTTCTCATACTTATTCAGAGTACACAATAGATGACAAAATTAGAGATATTTTACTAAAATCGTCTTGTTTTTCATGAAATAACATCAATTATATTTCGTATTTTTATGTAAACGAAATTCTACAATAAAACTCCTCGATCAGTCCCAATATCTGGTCTGGGTCGAGTTCGAGTTAAAAGCTTTTTCTGATGATTGAGCTTGCGAGTGATCTGATGGGTCGTACTCTAAACGTAGCAGCCAATGATGGCTTGATTATTATGCAATTATTGTCAAGACTGCTTGAGAAATAGATCGAATGTGTTATCACATCTTTGGAGCAAGAATCGAATTCACACTAAAAACTTTCGTTAATATTGAAAGTACGATTTGGTTCCACACATATTAGCACTAACAAATTCTTCTGTAAAATGAATTCTATTGAGGAAAATTAATTCAAGTTCAAGATATTCTTTTTTCTAGTATTACTTCAGATCTTATTATTTAAATTAGTTCTCAAAGAAACAACTCATATATTTTTTTACAACCAAAACAGAAATCGATTGATAATTTTTAAAAGCATAGATTCTTTAGACACTTGGTGTTAAAGTATGTAATATATTCCTATAATTAATGTATTATAGTCTCATAATCAAGAAAGTCAAAATCAAATAAATTTTGAAAATGTAAGTGATTCGGTAAAAGAATATGTAACTAACAAATTGTTAAAGTCAAAATGTTAATATTAATTTTATTCAAAAATAAAAACTTACATTGTATCATCTTTTTCTTTTGGTCATCAATACTTTCTACATTTTGTTCTGTTTGTCGACGAAAATATGCACTACCAGGTACATATTCATCAAGTTCAAGCGTAAGAATATCTTGAAAACTATGTACTGGTCCAATATTATTTTCTGGTAAATTTCGTGTACCACGAATAGCTGCTTCGAGTTCATGTTGTGCAGCTTTCTTTTTATGTTTTTCCCAACTAACGACACGTCCACGTTGTTCAGTATTGATAGTATTTTTTATTATCTATTTATTTAGAAAATTTTGACGAAAACAAATCATATGAGATATGATACCACTCACATTCATGCGCATTTTACTCCAATGATCAGTATTAAGATGATATCGAGTCACCATAATTCTATTGTAAATAATAAAATTTTTATTGGTAATGAAATAACGATATACGTAAATATATGACAACAAACAGATATAAATACGAACTTTTGCGAAATACGATCTAAAAGGAGCGTTAACATAGAGTTGGTAAAAGTTTGAATCCACTTTCGCATCGACTATGACAAACATTGGTTAGAAACCATTATACAGCCTGTGACAGACGTAACTATGGAAATGTCACAGAGCGTGCTAGACGCCTTAACAATGCTCTCAGGTCCTCTGCTGTGCGTCGCAGACATTGTTGATATATGAGTACAGGCCGTAGATCAATAACGTCGCGTTATCATATATGAATTACTTACTTATTGCATTGGTGAAGGATTAATCAAAAGGATGTTGAAGAAATGCGTCTCGACATAGATACAACAAAACAACCTGTCTGTGATTATGAACATCCGGTACACATCGTGTTCTTTATTTTAATCTTGCAAGGATTGCGCTAACAACTTTTTTAATGTAATTTCAACACTTAAACATAGCTAGCTTTTCTGACAGTGAAGATTTTCTTAATAAGGAAAAAAAAAGAAAGATATTTTACTTAATTATCTTACACTTTCCTTTGCTTTGTATTGATTATTGTTTGCTATGATAAAATGTTTCTCTATGTTAACTATTTGTCCTTCACTATGTTTTTTTCTCCTTCGTTACTTTTTCAAATACATCGAGACATACTCCATTTACGTTAACACAAAACATACTGCATTCTTTTGTACACATATGAGATTACATATTCGATGTTCGGACGTATTTATTCATTCACACCCTTTCGTTTTTTCTTTCATTCAATTCTTTTTTTTTTTTGTTCGGTTATAGATTTTCAGAATACAATTGACTATTATAAAAAATACTGTCATTCGATGTCATAACTGATTGTTGTTGATGTCGAATATCTGATGTCGGAGAATCAGCAAACATAGGATTATAGAGTTTTCGTTTATTATTTGAAGCTTCATCATTGACATATGCATAATTTTGATATGGATATGATGGTACATTCATATTGGCACCATGTGTAACAACAGACTCAATCACAGTTGGATTTTTATCGATTATTTGTTGACGACGACGACGTGTTTCTTCAGCTACTGTTGTTTGAGGACAACGGCAACAAAATAATCTTTTATTTTGTTTCCATCGAGATATGAAAATAATCAATGTAATCACAATAATAATTGCAATTATACCAAATATTATACTAAGCATAATTTCTATTGTACGTTTTCTTGTTATATGAGAATTTTTAGTTAATGAAACTAGTTCATTAGATTTTTTTTGATGATTTATCGAACCAGGTTCACAATAATCAAATGAACAATCAATTGATGATCTTGAACAGGCACTCTGAATTTGTCTATCAGTAAGAGAATCAATATGTTGGATTGTTTTCTCATTGAAACATTGTCCAAATATTTGTAATGAAGTTTTTCTAGCTATAGAAAGCCAACAAGATGTACAATTAAGTAAAACATATTGTATTGAAAGTGTTTTTAAACCAGTTAATTGAATAAATATACATGCATCAAGATCAAGTAAATTTGTATTTGATAAATCAAGATATTTCAATGATTTAAGATACTTGAAAGAATCTTGAATCACACCTATAATTAATAAGCAAATTAACAAAATAGTATAATTATCGTCTGTCTAAGAACATCACAGTCATAGATATTTTTGAAATAATTCGAGAACAGAAAGAGCTAGATAGCTGTGATTTTCATCATTGAAGAGACCAGGGTCCCAAATTATTCAAATACATCGAAATTCGATCGGTCAACAATTGATCAACGTTATATTTTTCATGAGATCTCCAACTTCAGCTAATTTAACTGTGATCACTTCTGGAAGAGCAGCTAGGCAAAAGTTATTCACCACGCTAAGTCGACTCTTAATGTTTGTTTATAGGTTCTAAATGATCTAACACTGTTATCCAAGTACTTTCGAAATGTCGACTTCTTCGTTACACGAAGACTAATTGTGAAATTCCAGAAATATTGAGATAATAGTGTCAGATCATTTAGAACCTCAAAACAAATGTCACCATTCGTCTTAGCATGGTAAACTACTCCTATCTAGCTGCTTTCCTAGGTAATTACAGATCAATTGAATGAAATTGGGGGTCTTACGAAAAGTCTTATAACTCTCGTATGAAACAAACTAGAAATATTGGCCTGGTGTAGATCAAAAGAGAAGAATTTTATCTATTGAGAACTTCTATTAAGCGTCTAACTCGAAAATACAATAGCTTCAGCATATAGTTTTTTGGAAGCTTTCCTGAAGAATTCACCTAATTGACCAACTACTATCAATGAAAGTTCGATACATTTTGATACTTTACTCGGTCTTCTTCTTTGAATGGTGAAAACCGCAACTCTCTAGCTTATCCCGTTTTTTAAGCTATTACATAAACACGCACAGTCATTATATTTCTTAACAACCGATAATAGTCATTATTTAGTAATTTAGTTCTTAGAAAAGCAAAGTGACGCTTGAAATTAATCATATACATAACTGACTGAAACGTATAACATTTGTGAAGATCAGAAACAATTTGCACGTTTACATTCATCGAAATGGGACCTTGGGAGGAAGATATTCTAATCTACTTTATCCGGAAAAAGTTTAATAAGTATATAACCCTAGTCGCTGAAAACGAGGGAAAATTTTGACAGATTCTAGTAAATCTGGACTCGGTTTGTTATACAGTTCTTTTTCTCTTCTAATGAAGGATTTGCATTTCAATTCATTGACCATATATGATTCAATATTTACTTGTACAAGTTCAATGTTTCCTCAAAAACATTTTCTAAGTCGGCTTGATTGAGACAATATCATTATTAGCTGCTGGATGCCGCAAAAATATTAGCGTTAATACAAAAAATGTGATATACTACTCAAATCTGTCTATCTGAAAGAACGAGGAATATATTTGAACCTACTCTAACGTACGAATCATGGCTCTTGGATAGGCTATCGCTTTCTCAAATCTCGTGGCTCCACCACCTATGAACTCAGCGGTAACCAAATTTTGAGTTTGAATTATGGCTCGGACTTCCTATCCCTGAAATTCATCATACATCACACACAAAAATATAAGTACATAGTACTATTAAAAATCTCTTATTATATCTTTTTGACTAAGAATTTGCATTTTTTGTCATGTGTTGGCTACAAAAAGCAAATGAAACTTTGATAAAATATTTTTCAAATGTCTTCCTGTTGAAAAGCGAAGTGCAATAGTCAATCATTATGTGTGTAATGTACGGTGAATTTTGAGTGAAGTTGAAATATATTTTGTTTAGTATTTCTATTAGGGCAAAAGCTGCAACTCAACCAGTAGAAATCAATTTTAGATATTAGAAAAACAGAACGATCGGTTCTTTATATGACCCATTTCGAGCACTACTGAATCTCACAAATTATTCAAATATTATTTAATGTCGGACAGAATGTCCAGACTAAAGTCTAGTGAATTAACTTTTCTTGGTCGTGTGCTAAACTTTAAATTTTAAAATTCTAACTTTTACCCGAGAATTTATCCAACTGATAATCTCCGTTGGAGCTCATATTTTGCTCATAGATAAGAATCACAATGTAAATAAAAATTATGAAAGGCTTCGTACCATCGGCTCTTTCTTCTCGAGTCATAAACATTTTACTGACCTTCCACCCTATTGTAGAATATTACAAGAAAAATTGCAACAAGAAACTTCGGTCTGAAATTCTCCACACAATAGCTCGCATGCTTTTTATCATACCTGGAAATCTCAGCCTAAATAGATGATTTCTTCTCAAGATATCATGTTCCTAAAAGTGGACTATTTTGGGAACTGTAGTGTGAAAGTAAAGTTTTTCGAAAACTTGAGAAGAAAGGCTTAGTCGCATCAAATCATCTGGCATTTTTTATCTATACTCTGACTCATCCGTATGAGCAAAATATGAGCTGAAACGAAGATTACCGGTCGAAGCAGTTCCTTCATTAGTATTAGTATTTTCTATCAATAGATTATTACTAATCAATAAAAATCAATTATTTCCAAAAATTAATTTACGTTCACATTGTTCTGTGTATTAGTTCATAAAAAGTAGAACATTTTATAAGAGCTATCTATGATTATTATTTCTATCCAGTAATATCGAACTGTAGAAAAAGAACATCAAATGGATTGATTAAACTATTTTGAACTATCATCAATCGTTGCCTATATCGATCTGAGCTTGCGTTAATGTGAACATCTTCTGACTTTATACACTTACATCATTTTACTTCTTTTAGTTGCTGATAGCAAAAAAAAAATTTTCACTCGTTGATGAATCTCCTTCCAATACTAATCATTAGTGAATATAGGTCTAAGATATTCCTAATGTGTCTTAACCGATTGGTTGTAAATTTTAGATTGTAATTATCGATAGTAATACAGTTACAAGTGTTAAAAAAACGATTTCTTTTGAAAGACTTTAGTGTATACTACTCGAGTTTCAAAATTGCAGATTACTCCTCTAATAGAACTATTACGTTAAACTAATAAGTGTAATGAGAGCTGTACAAATACGAATAGAAAATGTGCTCTTGTGTAATTATTATTTTCATAAATGCAAAATTCAAGAGTTTACTTTATCAAACTCATCCATCAAATCGCAGTCATAAAGTATTCTAGTCACGTTCATATTCCACGGGATCGAATATTTGCCATAGGTCAAGACAAAATCATCGAGAGTAATGTGCTCCATTAATTCATCTCGTTACTTTCTTCAATCTCACACTCAACTTCAACTTAAACTCTTCACATATAATAATGAAAGTACACGTATGATTAACTTTCATAATCTAGTATTTCTACCGGAGTTTAAAAATTTTCAAATAAAGGATAAATAAAATGATCTATTTTCTTAATCAACACTATTTAATACAGATATTTGAATTTTATCTTTTAAGTATATTGTTTTCTACTTACAAGTTAAATTTCTATTTGATGCTAATGATAACCATGTTAAATTATTCATATCCATAAGAGCAAATCTTGGTATACTCGATAATTTATTAAATGATAAATCAAGTTTAATTAAAGAAGTCCATTGATAAATTTTATTAGGAAAAATATTAATGTGATTATGTGATAAATTTAATTCTTGTAAATTAGTTAATTGAATATTATCAATATTATCAAATGTTTCAAGACGATTGAATGCTAAATTTAATTTTTTTAAATAAATTAATTTAGAATTTAACCATTTTGATATATTTAATATTTGATTCATTTCTAAATCAAGTTCAATAAGAATATCACCTATTGAATCAAATGTATTATCATGAATATATGTTATTAAATTTGATTTTAATAATAAACGTTCCATACGTAATGATAAAAGATTGCTTGAATTCAATGTTTTAAGATTACGTAATGAAAAATCAACTATTTTCCATATTATCATTTCTGCACAATTTGCTATAAATGGTAAATTTAATTTATAGAATGAACAATTTAAAATATATTGTGTTAAAGGACAATGACATGCTGTTGTTTGACAATAAATACATGATTGTTCAATAGTCAACATTGATAATGTTGAAACTTCTGTTGTAATAAATTTAACATCAGCCATACTGTTCAATAGAATAAATAACATGAAAAAAAATACAAAAATTTTTTTATGCATTGAATATGCGACAAATAAAAATGAAAATAATCGGCTTTTTATTCTTATATAAAAATCTATAAAGAAAAAAAAGAGAAAGTACAAAAGAATTGAGTTGAATTGATATATATGTATTAGTATAAGACATTGTCTATAATATAAAAAAAAACGTTAGAATGAGAAAGAAGAAAAAAAATGATGAGAGAAAAAGAAACTTGGTCAAAAGTTCACCATAGAGAATGGAAGAAAGAATGTGTTTGAATATATATATATACATACTTATGTATCGAAGAATAACATATTCAACAAGATATATTTTATTCAAAAGAAACAGTTGTATAATCTTGTAGTCGAATATACCTCACACAAACAAAAAGAAAAGTTTACATCAATAACCTGTGATTTGAATCGTACGAATAATTCGATTACGCTTCAACTAATTTGTGTTATGTTCAATAACGTTAGTGAGAAACAGCTGGGACAAGGATACCATTTGGTACATTGCAAAACTGTAACAATGATATGTAGTCATTATACTTATGTCATATGTTTATCTCAAAGTAGATTTTATTTAAAGACGAGATATTCCCTAAGGAAAATAACAAGTAATTTTTAGTGTCACATAGTGAAAGTTAAAAGAAAACGCAAACTTAATTCTTATGAATCTACAAATGAAAGATTATACTTCTATTGAATAATAATCCTCAATGTCATTTCTCATACAACTTCTGTCAAAAGAAAATACATTGAAAAGAATATTATGAAGATGTAAGATGTTTGACAATAAATCTCTGTCTTATTGTTCAAACAAATAAAGAATTATTTTATTGCATAATATGAATATTACCTATTCAAATTGGAATTGAGATTTTTCTGTTATAAAATATCATGTCAAATATAAGTTCTAACAAAAACGATGTTTTGTATTAATGATTGATAATTCCATAAAAATAGACTTTGCTAAAATAATAATCACATAATTAAAAATAGAACTAAGTTACTATTCAGCACAATTTTAACATCAATCATTTGTCTATAGTAAAATTTCAAATATGTTGAAATTTTCAAAGGTCTACAACAAATAATCAATCAATAGAACTCTAATTGCATAAATGTCTTATATAATAATAAATAGTTTTAAAGTCTTGTTTCTTTTACATACTTTTAAATACTCCAATTATTGATATACATGATGATACTATTTAATTAATAACAACAAATATAGAAATAATGAATAAGATTAAATATAGCATTCTAAATACTACCTCTTATATAATTTTTCTTCCATTATAATTATATGAGAATTGAATAGGTACATATGAGTCTTTTTTATTTCACAGAAAAAGCAATGAAATAAAATACTGTATAATGTAAAACGATATAAGTCGTAAAAGAAAATTTCTAGGCCAGCATGCACTAGTGAAAAAATTGTTCAAAAGAATATAGTATACATATACATATATGTATGTATCGAACAATATTATTTTAAAACAAATATTTTCTCGAAATATTTCTATGATCTAATTTCTTTTTTTTTTACGAAGTCATATATTGCATGAATCTTTTATAATATCAGTAGATAAGTAATTATCTGTATTGTTGTTTGATATTCAGTAAATATTTCCTTGAAATATATTTAACTGATTTTTTGTTATTTCTTAGAAATAAAAGTATATATATTATTTATTATTAATTATAAGAAAAAAACGATTATTATATAGAAAATAATACATATGATAAAGCGATAATTTTTTTAAGCCTTTTCATTCTTTTTTCCTAAACTACATAGAACTGTTTCTCAAATAGAATGTTTTTCAAGTTTAACAAAAATAGCATCAGGTTGAATAACAAGTTTTTCTTGTCGTTTGAAACCTTCTTCAATTTTATCACCAGGTAATATTCGATATTGTCGAAGTAATTGAATTATGCACATTTTCAATTCCATTAGTGCAAATCTCATACCAACACAATTTCTTGGACCAACACCAAATGGCATCCAAGCAACAGGATGACGTTTTACTGCATGTCTTTCTGGTATAAAAAGATTTGGATCTTCAGGACCCCATAAATCTGGATTGTAATGAATACTAAATATATCAGGTTGAATAATACTATCTAAAGAAACACAAGAAAAAAAACATCAATAGATTATTAATAATTTTTCTTCTTAGACAAACCTTTTGCGATAATATAACCACATATATTTGTAGTTTGATTACATTTTCTTATTTGTCCTTTGCTTGTAATAGGATACATTCGAAGAACTTCACGTGTAAATAGATCAAGATAAACAAGATTCGTAGCTATTTCATAAGCATTTTCATCATCATACTTATGCCATTTAATTTCATTAATTTCTTCAATAAGTCTATCTTGAATATTCGGTTTTGTTGCTAAAATATACGTGCAATAAGCAAGTGCTGTTGATGTTGTTTCATATCCAGCAATCATAAAAAGAAATACATTGCTCACAACTTCATCTGAATGTAATGTTTTTGACATGCATTGTTCATCATCATGGTCCTATATTAATACAGTAGATTTCAATATATGAAAATATAATTTTTTTTTTATAGCAGTGCAATGACAACGAATGATGTGAACTTCACTATGTTTAATACTCAATTATAACATGCGAAGCATATTTTTATTGTTTAGTAATAATTGTTAGATATAAATTAATAATCTTACTTTAACGTCATTAAGAGTTGAAGCATCGATCATAAGTTGTAACAAATCTACACGTTTTCTTGGACTTGTTGTTAATGATTCATTTCGAAAATTAACAACTTCTTTAACACGGTTTGTTAACCACGAACCAGGTGTTTCTTCAATGTAATTACTTAATGATGGAATTAATCTTATTAAAGCTCTACGAACAGCAATTTGACCAAGATAAAAATAGCGAAAAGGTGTTACAAAAAATGGCAATAAATTAGTTAATTTAACAATAGTTAATTTCTCAACATCCAGTTCAAATGTTCCAGCTGATTTTCGTAGATATATATTACTCACATCATTCTGCATATCAGTATCAATACCAAATGCACAACGACCTAAACATAATAGAATGTTAACGTATGCAGAATATACATATGTGTAAGATTGATCTACTTACATATAACATCCATTGTCATTCGTTTATATAAATTATAAATATTAATTTCTGTATTTTTATCATCAATTATATCAGATAATTTATTAAGCATTGCTTCGATACATTGATTCACTAAGGGCACCATAAGTTTAAGTTTTGCACCTGAAAATGTTGGACTAATTATATGTCGTTGACGGCGCCATCTTAGTCCAGTTGCTCCAAATAAATGAATTTTATTACCCGTCTGAAGACGTAATATAATTGGAAGACGACGTGAATGAAATGATGAAAATTGTTTTATATAAACTTTTTCAAGAAAATCAACATCCGAAACAACATACATCGGTGTTGTACCTGCAAATAATCCATAAATAGAACCATATTGACGAGTCCATTCTTGTAATTGTTTTGAAACTGATTTTGCTGACCAAAGATCCTTATAATGACCAAAGAAGAAACGATATGGTGGTCCTGGAATACCTTGACGTTTGAAATAACCATAAGAATGGCTAACGATCCATAGATATGCAATGATGAGACAGACAGTACAAGTAAACAGACAAATGGTAAGTATCATCTTGTGATGAATAAAAGGTAAATGTATGTTCGCAAATTTCTTTTTATCTATACATAAAAAAAATAATTTCATTTGAAATAATGTTTATCTTATATAGAATAAGCGATGCACTCTATTGCCTAGTAAAAATATTGCTCTATACGAAATGTCAGTACGTTCTAGTACAAGATGCTGAATGTTTATGATTCATTGATAAAATTGAAATACGATCATACACCAAATGAATACACATGGTTTGTGCACGTGTATTATGTCATGATTTTTTTTTCAAATACGAATAACAAACATTCCAATGTATTGCTATTGTACACACCAAAGATGAACAAACAAAAATGTCAAATATTTTTCTTTTTTGCAACAGAACAAAATTTTCTAGAAATTCGAGCAGATTAGCAAAATCAATATCTCTAACTGAAATTTATTTCATATAATTTTCTTAAAATTGATCAATAGAAAAAAAAGTAACTTTTTGTTAATAAGAAAGAAAAAAGAAACAATGTGCTCCAACGATGTTTTTTCACCATGTTGACATTTATGATACTATAAAAAAAATAACAACGAAACTAGTTTACTATTACCGCAGTAATCGAAGCGAATCATTAAACAATGTAAAATAAATCTGAGTTTACGTTTGTTCTATATTCTACTATCACATTTGAGCCTCTTCTTATCATATCAAGGTATTTAAATTATTCATTTGCACATTGCCGAAAAAAAAGCAAATGTTGATCACAGTTAATCAAATGAATATATTATTCTTCATACTTCATATAAAGCAATTCACTGCAAAAAATAAAATTTATTTCAGATTGATCGTTTTTCAAGTTTAATAAAAAGAAAAAGCATCAGCCTGAATAACAAGTCAATTTGGATTTATCATATTATCAATTTCATTAGAGAAAATCTCATGTCTCTAAAAAAAAACAGAATAAAGTTTTTTACTTCATCTCTGTCTAATATAAAAAGGTTTGAATCTTCAAAACCTGATAAATCTGAATTGTAAATAAATTAAATATATAAGATTGAATAATACTATCTTAGACAAAAAAAAACATCAATAGATTAATGATATCTTTTCTGCTCAAAAAACTTGTTTTGACAATGTAAACATATATTTATAGCTCAATTACGTTTTTTATTAGGGGTGTGTTTTGCTGGTGATAGGATACATTCAATGACCTTAACGTACAAATAAATCAAGATAAGCAAGACTTGTAGCTAATACTTCATACCTATCATCATCATCGTTATTCAATCATTTAGTTTGATGAATTTCTTCAATAAGTTTATCTTGAATGTTTGATTTTACTGCTATAATATCCATACAATAAGCCAGTGCTGTTGATATTATTTCATAAGAAATATATTGTTCACAACTTCATCTTGAATATAATGCTTTTCACATGAACTCGTTCAGCAGTCAGATCTTAAAAGAATAAATTTAATTAGAATGCATAAACATAGCAATCGCACGTTAATTAGTTACGAGTCTATTTCATAGAACATGAGTTGTGATTAATCGACACATTTTGTGTAAGTTAACGTAAATTATGCATGACAATTAATAGGAACTAGAATTTCATCAAATAATTTTTTGTTGCAGAGAATAGTTGAATATAATCATACAATTTTTGATTAAGCTGTGTTAACATTCTGAGAGGGCTTATTATCAAATCAAATAGTAAATATTCAAGTGGATTTTCAACAAATACTAATCAATTAAACATGAGGTACTTTCTTATAATCACCTAAAAAAAAAATTAAGTTGAATTTCATTAATATGAATTATTTATATGATCAGTATCAATATTTAATGGACATTAAGGTAAACATAAACAAATAAAATAATCTACAACAGTTTATTATAAGATTCATCTAGTTATAGATCATTTCTATTATATTACATTGCTATAATACATATGTCAAAATAGGTGGTATTTATTCTTTTCTTGTAGATGAAAATAGTGCGTTAAATATTTGTTTTTGATAACGTTATTTTTTTCAATTTGTTCTAATTATATATTTTTTTTATAATAATTTTGTTCACGAAAAGAGATAGATTCGAACATGAATGAAATGAAAAAATTCATGTAATTTAAACTTTTTGAAGAAAGTCAATATCAGATAAAACATATGCTAGTGTTATACTTTCAGGATAATTCATAAATTGAACCATACTGACAAGTGTGTGGTTGTATCAATTTTGAGATTTATACTATTAATCAAAAATTCGCGTGATGATTAAAAACGAAACGATGTAATAACCTTGAAATTCTATCACGTTTGACATAATAATTGGTGAAGTATTGACAGTACACTCGAGAACACTTGCTGATAAGAAAAGCAAAAATCGAAGGACAACCTGTATAGAGGTCATGTGCAAAAAAAAAACAAAGTACACGTTTATCTTGTCAGCATTAAAATCATAATGTTACAGATAACACATGTGCAACATACTGAGTCTAATCCAAAGAGACATAAAACGAAAATATGTTTTCGTAATGCCAATGTTAGAAATGAAAAATGTATTGGTGCCTAGCACGTGACTCATTACATGTATTACATGCAAAGTGCCTATTAGTATAATATACAGAATAAACAACGGTTGTTAATGAGTTTTGATATGATCATCTTGTTTATTATATAAAGACAGATAAAATATAGAATGCAAAAGTACTCATCTAAAGTTCACGCATAAAAAAATATTTTTCAAAGCGTAATGCATTAAAAGCAATTATTGCAAATAATTATCTTGTGTTTAGGGTTATAAATCAAATATTTCTTTTTCCTAGATGGTTTTTATCAAGGACGTAAACAGCGATTTCATCTGAAACTTTGATGTTTCGTTAAAGCATAAAAATATTTACATATAATGATAGAAAAAATTTCTTAATATTTATTTCAATAAAATGTTTATCTGAGATAGTTTCTAATTGAACGAAATAACGAATAATAAAAGTGAAAAAGCAAAGGCAAACAAGCATCTTTTCACAATGATATGTTAATGACAAAATTACTTTTAATTGATAAAATAAAAATTAAGTTCAACTATTCAATTGAATAATCAAGAAGTTGATCTTCAATTCAAAATGCATTTTTGTTAGATATTGTTTAAAATCAATTGCTGAAATTCTCAAATACTAATATTCAATCGAAGACAGTATAATACATATAAAAATAAGTATTTTAGCTAATTATATACAATATTAGTGTGCTATCAATAGTTTAATTAACTTTATCAGAATAGTTGTAAGCTGAGAAAGTAATATTTTATCGTTTTTAATATGTTGTTGAATTAAAATAGTCGTCATTTAGATGAAATAATTATTTTTAAGACAGGATAATTTCAATCGAATTTATGCTTATGTCATAATAGTGAAATCAATAAATGAATATCGATAAAAAAAAACGAAATTCATTTTTGTCAAAAATGTCTATCTCGATTTTTTTTAATTAATAATCAAATTTAATGAAAAGTTATCATAACTATATTATGACATATAAATTTTAAATCGCAAATATAAAGTATAATAATAGATAAACAGAGAAATTCATCTTTCGAAGTTTTATTGTGAATCTATGCAGGAGACTCATGTCACAGTGACCTATATGCATGTTATTACATCGTTTTTTTTATTATTATAATAGTGTATATCGAAGAAAAAAAAACAACTTATGTAATCAATAGAAAAGGATAAAAAAATTATAAACGAAAAAAATGTATTTTTGAATGTAATGATCTTCACTGAAAAGCATTTCATCGAAAGACTCGCGGGATACTTTAGACTATTACGAGTCCTTTACTTCTTATACAGACTTGTTAAGCATGAAAATTTCAGCTCATTTTGTCTTCACTCTCACTTTTGCAGCGTCCTCTGTGATCAAAAAACACTTTCGAGGAAGTATTTTTCGGCGAAAAGCATACATCCCATACCATCATACTGAATAGAATATATTTTTTTCCTTATTTGAAATCTTCTGTAGTTTTTTTAAATAATATTCGATCGCTACTGAAGTGATTGAATTAAGTACATTTTAAATTTCTTGAAAGTAAATTTCATTCAAGCATAATTTTCTAAATTTATATCAAATTGTATTTAAGCAACAGGATGACGTTTACTTGTATATTGTTTTAATATAAAAAAGATTTAGGTCTTCAAAATTCTATAAATCAGAATTTTTATACTCTATAAACACAGCAGTTGAATCATACTATTTCTATAAAAATTGATCCATAGAATGGCAACTACAAATGCATACATCCTCTTTTAAACAACACGACTTCTTCAATGATAAGACTACAAATAGTTGACGTGCCATCGGACAACTGATAATAGAATACATTCCACAGACTGCGAATACAACAGCATGTCCAAATAAGAAAAATTAGTGGTTATATCATAGGTTTCATCTCGATCACTTTTATTTCATAGTCTTTGATTGATCTTCTCAACAAGTTTCTCTTGTATTTCAAGTTTAATTGCTACAATGTAAAACAACAAGCTAGTACAATCAATATTGTTTCATAATCAATATAATAATGAAAAAAATCGATACTATTTTATTTTTACTTTATCTGAATACAATAGTTTAGACATCAGTTGATCATTAGTATTTTTCTCGAATGACTGAAAGCATGTTTTAATCTACAATAATTTTAAGCATATTCTTTTTCTGAAATGATACTTAAAACTATCAGCATAGTAAATCAAAATTATATATGCATTTTACTTTTTTCTTTGTAATAGTTTTGTAAAATATGCTCTAAGAGGAGTGTTGAAATATATAGGGTAGAAATTTACACTCCCACAGACCATGGTAGACGTTGTTAATATACAATCAAAGACTGCATATCAATAACAATTCGTTTTAATATATTAACTACTTCCTTATTACATTTCTGGAGAACTAAGTAAAAGACAGAGTGAACAAATGTGTTTCAAACAAGACAGTATAAAATAATTTCTTGGTGATTAACGACAGTAGTTATATTGTGTTTCACATTTCAATCCTGCAGAGACTACGCTAACAGCTTTTTTTGTACGCATGAGAATCATTGTTTTTTTATACAGTGCGTGTTTCTAATAGAACAAAACACCATATAACGGATTAAATTTATGTATAACAATCGAAATAAAATAACAAGAATAGTATTATAAATAAGTGCACTTTTTTTATTATTCGTTAGTAGAAAGTAATCATATTGAAGAGAATGGTATCTCTGTCATAATGAATATATTAAATATAGTTGTCTTCAAATAATATTGTTCAAGGTTAATTGAAGCCTTATGTATCAAAAAGACATAGAAATAGCTGTAATAGTCCATTTCGATAATCAAGTTCAATATAAGAGGAAAGCTGTCATATAGTTAGAATTATTGTCTTTTGACATCAAATCCTTCCTAACAATGGAAGACTACGGATCTTCTATTTTGATGAAAATGTACTCATTAAAGTATCGATTTTGCTAGAAGTTTATTCATGAAAGCAAATCTTCTATTACATCTGGCACATCGTTCCTTCCATGGGGCTCTTCTATTAAGAGAAAGTCTTCTAATATAGAGGATCTTTCACAGTGGAATGGCATTTATTGTATCTTGAATATTCGATTAAAATTCAATGCTTCGTAAATATTTTTTTAAGCACAGTTTATTGCTGATATATGCTTTTTTATCCAAAAACACAACAAGTAAAACATGACTTGTATAATTTTTTTTGCCATTTAGTAAGTTTCGTCTAATTGCAATCAGCTGTCTTATTTGTGATTACCAGCTATTTTTTTTACTTGAAATTTTTCACTATGCACCTTTTATTTTATACTGCATTAGTTTTGGAAATCAATGACCTATTGATAAACTTATTCGAATAGGAATACATCTAATTGCAAACCCAATTAATATTTTTTGTCTCATTCATTCATGGTTTAGCATAAGACAATGGCAAATTGGAATTTCTCATAATTATAACAAAACCTGGTGTACATAGAATAAATTCATACAACACTACTAATAATGACCGATAAAACAAGTTTCACATTTACACATATAAAGGCTAAAAGTTTAGTTTAGTGAATTTATATATTCATTACAATAATCAGCGCAAACAACTTCATTTCTATGTCTTAAATACAATTTTTCATGATAATAGACTATAGTGAAGGTAAGCGTTTTTCTATTTTTACAAAAATAGCATCAGGTTGAATAACAATTCTTTCTTGGCGTTTGAAACCTTCTTCAATCTTATCACCAGGTAATATTCGATATTGTCGAAGTAATTGAATTAAGCACATTTTCAATTCCATTAGTGCAAATCTCATACCAATGCAATTTCTTGGACCAACACCAAATGGCATCCATGCAACAGGATGACGTTTTACTGCATGTCTTTCTGGTATAAAAAGATTTGGATCTTCAGGACCCCACAAAGCTAGATTGTAATGAATAGACAATACATCTGGTTGAATAATAGTACCTAAAACGAAAGATCAGTCAAAAGACACTGTAATTAGAATTCTATGATTTTGTGTTTTTTAGCATGCAAACCTTTCTCGATCTTATGACCACAAATAGTTGTAGTTGTATTGCATTCACGTGTCATTGCTTTAACAGTAATAGGATACATTCGGAGAACTTCACGTACAAAAAAGTCTAGATAGGAAAGATTATTAGCTTTCTCGTAGTTCTCTTCTACATTATTATTATCCCAATTATTGTCATTAATTTCTTCAATAAGTTTATCTTGAATTTCTGGTCTAGTAGCTAGTACATATGTCGAATAAGCAAGTGCTGTTGATGTTGTTTCATAACCAGCTACCATGAACAGAAAAATATTCGGTATTAGTTCATTGGATCGTAATACTTTTGACATTGAATGATTATCAACATCATCCTAAAATAATGAACAAGATGTGGTTTTATAATAGTTATTTACAATTAACAATTTCAAATATACTACTATTTTACTCACTATGTAATTTAGCGTCTTAACAAGCACTAGGCAAATTAAAAGACTAAAAGTTTCTTTTAATTTATTTACAAGCATCATATTTTTTGGTACTTGTAATGATCGTTTTCAATTTGAGTCCGTTTTTTAGTTAATACATGACTAGTAGCTGAACCTATTTAACTCTTTTACATATCGTCATGGAATGACCCCGAAAAAGTCACTAAGGGCTATTTGTCTCGGATTATCCATCCGATAGTATACTGACCAGTAAGTTTGAATTTACACTAGAGATGTTCTCTCTGTATACATATCTATTCACAAAATATAACGGATTTCGCTTTTCACATATCATTTGTTTAGTTAGATAGCAATACATCAGAAATCAAAATGTCGATGAGCCAAAATATCGAATAGGAAAAACATAAAAAAACGTCCAAACTTATGAAGTCGAAGAAAACAATATTGAAAGACTAAATGTCGAAAAATTTCTAATCTGTACTAAAGAGAAAATATGTCATTTACCTCTTCACGTATCTACGCCCACACTCTTTCAATGGTAAAGATAGTTTACAAAATAATTCTTCATAGAGAACACTTCTGAAGAACATGAAACGTTCAGGGAACATTTATATGTATAAGAAAACTTGTCGTTAATTCTTCTTTTTTATGAATTATTCTTTATTAAATTTTCAAGTCAGACCTCAGATTTTTTCTAATACTGAACTTAGATACGAACATTTGTCGAAGTATGTTTAAAAAAATCAATCAATTAACGAAAATTTTAAGAAAGTGAACAATTAAAGGAAGATTTCTAATCTATCGAAGGTTTTCATTTATTCAACTTACTATAACATTCTCACTAGTCGTAGCATCCATCATAAGTTGTAATAAATCTACACGCTTTTTCAAATTAGATGAAGATTTCTTTCGAAGGTCCACTACATCTTGAACACGATTCATCAACCATGAACCTGGCAATTCTTCAAGATAATTACTCAAAAATGGCATTAATTTCATTAGCTTGTTACGGATATTTGCCATACCAGAGAAAACATAATATAGAGGCAGTGCTAGAATAGGCACTAAGTTGCTCAATCGGACAATTAGTAATTCATCAATATCTATCTTAAAAAATGCAGCAGATTTTTGTAAATATGGATTATCTATATCATTTTGCATATCAGTATCAATACCAAATGCACATCGACCTAAAAATACATAGATAAAAATACAATAATAACATCTCATTTAGATTGATCTACTTACAAATAACATCCATAGTCAATCGTTTGTACAACTCATAAATGTTGATTTCTGTATGTTCATTATGTGTTATTTGTGATACCTTGTTTAACATAGCTTCGATACATCCATTTACTAGTGGAGACATTAATTTAAGTTTAGCAGATGAAAATGTTGGATTAATAACATGTCGTTGACGACGCCAACTTGCTCCAATAGCTCGAAACAGATTAACTCTTCCCGAGCTTTGTATACGTAAAACTCTTGCTATAATACGTGAATGAAATGATGAGAATTGTTTTATATAAACTTCTTGAAGAAAATCAACATCCGAAACAACATACATCGGTGTTGTACCCACGAATAATCCATAAATAGAACCATATTGACGAGTCCATTCTTGTAATTGTTTTGAAACTGATTTTGTAGACCATAACATCTTATAATGACCAAAAAAGAAATGATGTGGTGGCCCTGATATGTCGAGACGTTTGAAATAATCATAACAATTGTTAGTTGTCCATACATAGACAGCAATAAGACATACAACAATAGATATAAGAGCAATGGTTAAAAACATTTTTTGGTTGGAAGCAAAAAATAAAAATTCTGTTGCTTGTCTTCGTTACCTTGCCGTATATTAGTTATTGTGCTTCTTACAATGCATGGCTTATATAGAATGGAGAATGTTCTTTGTCGCACTTTTCGTATGTTGTCCTGTTACCTTTTAAACATGTTGACTCAGAAGCCCACGAAAAGATATATGTCAGCGTCCAAACTGAGATTACGTCCAATCTCAGATTGGCCTAGGCGAATGTCGGATCCGAGATTGGACGCGTCCAATCTTGGATTGACGCAATTCTGTTCATTAAAATATCAATTACCTTTTAGACAGACCTTGGATTCGAACTATTTTTTGAAATTATGTTCACACAATGCCGTTTTAAGTATTACAAGCATTTAGGAAGAAGCTAAATTTAGACTCAAAAATGTAATAAAAGTTTTTCACAAAAGTTCTTGTTCTCTAGAAATTTATTCATAACTCCTAAAATTTTATTCAAATTTGTCAAATAACAATTGTGCCAAACAAACTGGCATGGTGTAAACATAACTCAAAAAAAATAGTTCGAATCCAAGGTCTGTCTACAGGGTAATTGATATTTTAATGAACAGAATTGCGTCAATCCAAGATTGGACGCGTCCAATCTCGGATCCGACATTCGCCTAGGCCAATCTGAGATTGGACGTAATCTCAGTTTGGACGCTGACATATACGTCTTTTACCAAAAATAACTATGTCATACCGAATTTTTAATAAATAATATGTTCTGAAAAATTCTACTACATTTTTCCGCTTTTGCTTTTTTGAATAGTATTTCAATCTTTTTCGATGAACGATCTGAGCGGTAATGAACAAATTAATAAGCAGTATGTATTATCAAATGTTATTCTTGAACCATCTAAATAGGATTTAAGTAATATTTGACTTTGCTTTGCTTGAAACTAATGTATAACATATAATCATAATTTATTCTGTACTATAGCGTTGATCTATGTTAGCAATTGTCCTAAAAGTAAAAAAAATTCCATGACTCAATTGTAACAAAACTCAACTTATACTTGAAAATTAGAAACTAGTTAAGCTGATCCAATCGTCGATTACTTATAAGAAGGAATATTTTATTCTATAATAATGAACTCGATGAGTTCTATATATTTGAATAAAAAAATGATTTCATTTCAAATATAAAGTTTCATCGATAATAATCAATTAATTTATTTGAAAATAAATTCAATAATCGAAATATAATTACAGTGTAAATTATATTTATCAACTAATCATACAAAAAAAATATATAAACAACATTTATTTTAAGTATCAATCAGTTTTAATGTTTTGATATTAGTATCATAAGAAAAAACATGTTTTTAATTTCATTTACTTGATCGTTTTTCTTTTTCTATATTGAAGGAAGTAAATTTTAATAAAATTCTATTATTTCTTACACCTTTCACAAACATTTACAGTATAGAACAACATTTTTACTGGAAAGTAACATTTTTTCTTGCTTATATTTGCAAAATGCACTGGTGACAACAAGTCTTTCATGGTCATTGAGGAAAGGAAGAAAAAGAAAGAAAGAATGAAAAAAAGAAAGGAAAGAAAAAAAAGAAAAATTCGAAACAAGATTACCGTAGATGCAAAATCGTGAAGATAAAGAAAGCATAGGAAAAAAGCAAGTCGACGTTTCATTTTATTTTATGTTGGAAAAAAAGTAAAAAAAAGAACACATCGCTATGGCGGCGTCTGCAACGACACATAAAAGTGCTGGATATAAACAACCAATAAAAAGTGGTCTTTCACTTGTTTGGCTTGATGATAGTGCTGGTCAAGATCCAAATATACAAGAAATATTTCGTTCGCTTTTCGAACAAGTATTTATATTTACAGATAGTATAGCTTGTCTTGAATTGGTTGAATCTGCGGACACTGAACAACCTTGTATATTGCTTCTTGTTTCGGGTAAATATGGGCAAATGCTTGTACATGATCGTTTTCAACCATTACATCAAGTTAAAGATATTTATGTTTATTGTTTTGATGTTGCTAAACATAATCAATGGGCACAACATTGTGATAAAGTTCGATGTGTTGATTCTGACTTTGGCAAAATACTTAAACATATGCAACATTCTGTACAAAAAGCTACGAAACAAAGACAGCAACAGCAACCAACTGATGATCAACAAGAACAAGAAGAAATGCAAGAAGAACCTGCAACAGAAGAACCAGAACGTTTTTTAGATGATAATAATTTATATGATCAACTTGCACTTGATATCTTACTTCAAAATTCAAATCAGGATGATGGTATTGAAGATTTTAAGAACTATTGTCGAACACATGTAGAAAATAATAATGAAGAACTAGCAGATGAACAACAAAAATCTTTTAAACCAAATATACCTATCAAAGAATGGTATAAACAAGATTTAGTTTTTGTTAATTTAAATTCAACTGATTTCATTCAGTTATGGACACTTCGTTGGTTTATAAGATTATTTTATCGACAATTAACTAATGACTATAAACATTATATTGAGAAAACAACAAATATTATTGCTAGTTATGGTACATGGTTAACTAAGGATGAACTCGATGCAATGAAACATCGTATTGGGGAAAGTATTATTTTTACGGAATTTCTTTTGGCATATACAACTAGGGGTAAAGCATTGTCGTCTATACAAGATAAGAAAACTGAACAAAACAAACATAAAGTTATATTTGAAATAAATGCTAATAAAAGTAATCATCACACTGTTCCTTATACTGGAATTCAAGATGATACAGTTTTATTTTGGTTTGGTTCTCGACATCGTATTTTAAAAATAGAATATGTTGAAAATCAAGTTGATAATAAAGAATCATATTGGTTAATTGGTGTAAACTTAGGTTCAACACTTAATAGACAACAATCTATTGAAACTTTATATGAATATTATCGAAAAAAATTAATAGAATTAAATGATGTTCATTATGCATTAGGTCGAATTCTTATGTATAAAGGTTTGTATTATCAAGCAGAAAAATGGTTACAAACTAATAATCATTATGAAGATTTAGCTGAATTAGCTATACGTCAAAGTCAATGTGAACGTGCAAACCAATATCTTCAACATTTACCTGAAAATTCAAATGATGCTAATTTATTACGTGCTTATGTAAATCTATTATCATCAAATGATAATATTGCAAAAGGACGTACTATTTTAATGAAAATAGGTACTGATGCAACAGATAAAATTATTCGAGCTCGAGTTAATATTGGTCTTGGCTTTATTAATTTAGCTGTTGCACAACAGAATGATCAAACATTAGATTATTTTACACTAGGAAGTGAAACATTGTGTAACAGTTTACCGGATATTCATCCGGATATTGCTAAATCATATTTGGGAATTGGTTATGCATATTTTGCTCAAAAGAAAATAAAAGATGCTGAGAAATATTTTCAAATGGCTTTGACAATACAAAAACAATCATTACCATATTTACATCCGGATGTTGCCAAAACTCGAAGTGGTATTGCTCATTGTTTATCCGTTCAAAAACAAACAATGCAACAAGCATTACAAGAATTACAATATGCATATAATATTTTAATGCATACATTTCCTCGTGAATACAAAACACATCCAGAAATCTTATTAACTAAGATCGATATTGACAGATTACGAAAAGGAAAAGAATTATATGTACGCAATACATTACTTGATTATATTTAAAATTATTAATAGACATTCATTATAGGGAAAATCTAAAAACATAATCTACTATTCAAGTATAGACATATATTGATCTTTCCCAATAGTCAACTAATAAAAAAATATTTACATAAAAACTTCTGTAAAATTCAAAAAATAAGAAACAAGCTGCGCACATAAGATCATTTTACGGTCTCTAAATATTATTTTAGTTTTTTTTTTATTGTGATCACGTTAGAACGAGTGATTATATGGTATTTTAAGATGTGATTTTATGACCAATTTTTTTCGTTTTATTGATATATATTCGAATCCTTCTTAAGATATGACATTATCGATGCTGTATCATTCTTATAGGGAGATAAGAGTGGAAATGAAAAAATGGATGTAAAGCTTTTGGAAAGAAATTTTTTTATAATACTATCAAACCTCTATGAGGACTTGATGTGAATTCAGATACTTGAAAGATACAAAAGAGTTTTATGGACATTTTTACTTCTGACACAGCACGATTTAGTTTAGAACATACTCTGAAATCCACATTGATGTACGTAACCATTTAATTTAATTAGTGAAAGGAGAAAATCCAAATTATTATGTTAACAAACGAAGATCTCATCGAGTACTTCGATAGACGAGTCGAATAATTTTATGTAAGTTCGTTGCACTGAATGAATAAATGATTGTTGCTAAAGAATATCGATCATTCCTTGTAGAAATGAAAACTATGCTATGGTATATTCGGTCAGGAATTCTTAAAGATTTCTTTCTTTAAAAATCTGTTGCTGCGAAGTAAATATGAATTTTCACGGTGTTTTTGATAACGTACGATCGAATGCGTCTTAAAACATTTTCGATACATTAGATATTCTTCTCTACTAAGTATTAAGCTGTAAAATTGGATCACTATTTAATAGTCTAGTACAAACTGTCATTGGCTACATGAGTAGGGAAGAATGTCCATAATACCTACTAGATCTAGCCTCAAATATTATGCGTTTCCAACGCGACTAGTTCCTTTTTCTTTTTTTTACAAAAAATGCCTTATAATTATACACGGAATGGACCATCAGGTGATAGAGCGCCGGTGTGAAGGCACAGATGTGTGATTAAAATCAATACTCAAACCTACACACAACCCTTCAGACTCATGATATTAAATATAACGAAGACAAGCCGGAATGCGTTACTTAAGTTACAATAGCAAGTAATGATCAAACTTGTTTGGGATAGTTGTTTGAACGATTTTTCCATGTTTTCTTCGCTTTGCTTTTTAATGAAACAGAAATAGTAGTCCACAACTTCGAATCA